AATTGAACCCTCTGTAAACTATATCATACTTTATATACCCGTAGCTACCCGACTCAATCTTTACCTCTACTTGCTATAGCTGTATCATGGTCGCCTAAGTTGCCCTCCGGTGTAGCGTCTCGGTTCACTATAGAGCTCGGTCCGGCCCGGACTATTAAATTCGTTAGGCACTATCTATAATCGTAGAACATACTATTCCCTATATACTAAAGCTACACGTATAGTGCTCTATCTTAAAGGCGTAGCCCATATACGTACCCTAAAACACCGGCTCTCCTTTTTTATTTATAGCTACCTTATAGGACTTAAAGGGCGCTAGGCCGGCCCGGTACTAGTCGTATTCCTGACCCTTAGGCGCTACTGTCCCGATTCGCTGGCCGTAGAGGGCCTCGGCTCCATAACGGTATACTAGAATCAGTATCTTGGGGATGCCACTGCTGTTACGTTTCCAGTCTATATCCGGGCTGTCCTAACGGACCATATCGTAGTATTTCTTCTCTACTAGGCCTCGGATCAGCTTCCGGCTATTAGGGTTTCCGTTAATATCAAGGTATATCTCTCCGGCTATATTACTAGTTAGTAAAGTCCCCTAATCCTTCTCCTAATCTAGCTTACCGTTTATCTATAGTAGCTTTACCTCTAGTAAGCTACTCGGTCCCTTAGGGTTTTGGGCTATATGGGCGATATAATCGTTAGCCGGTAAGTCGTATATTATTAATAGATCCGTAGAGATATTACTAGTTAAGGACGTGCCTATAGAACTCTCTCCGGTATCCTCTAGTAGCGTGGTGAAGATATCTATAGCCGAATGACTGCTACAATAGCGTCGAGTGGGTATATATACTAATAGTATCTACTAAAAGCTTACTATCCTTCCTATACGTAGTCTTTGTTTTCCCCTCATCCCTTACTTACTCCTCCCCTCGACCTCTTCTTCCCACTTCTTACCCTAGGAAGACTCTTTATTATATACTTTACTATTATCTATCACTATCTCTGATAATACCATCGCCTAAGGCTAGAGTTAAGGCTAGAAAGTAGCCGGAGACCTCTAAATGCCCGCATCATAAGTCCCCGGTCCCCTCGTCCGACGACGGGGTCACCTTTATTAAGAGTAAGCCCCTTACGGCCCGAGGTAGGTTGATCATATACCCTACCCTCGCGTCTATACTAGTATGAACTAACGTTAGTAATACCTAGCCTATTATATTACCGCCTTAGCCTAGTCCATACGGTCCGGATAAGTGTCAGAGTAGTAGAAGAACCTGAGCCTAGCTAACCTACCGCCCCCTATACCGCCAATCCTAACCCATATACTGCTTACCGATAACGCCTTTGCTTTATAAGCACGATGCTATAAGCACTATCGCGAGACCCTAGCCGTACTCGCCTATATAGATTATGAGCGGTAGCAACTAAGCGCTCGTATATGGCAGTTTTATAAGGAGTTAGCCTAAGGTCTAGCCGAGCAGCCTTCTAATGCCGAGGTTGAGATATAGGATAGTATTGAATAGCCCGGAGCGGAGATATAGAAGTAAGTGGGCGAGCCGTATATATTTCCTATCTATATGCCCTATCCAATCTTTATCATTTGAAACAATCAATTTGTATATATATTCTATTAGTCTAGTATCACAATATCTAGTATACTAGTAGTCTATCTCGTACCCCTATCGTATCATATCCGGCCCGGAGAGCCTAGTATTAACTGATCTAGCCCCCTATACCGGCCCCAATTATCTAAACCTCTTTATTCGTTATCGTCCTTATCGTCTGTGTCCTTATCGTCGGTCTCTATCCCTTCTATAAGTGACTCGACGGCGTCCCGTAGCTTGGTCATACGCTGCTGCTGTCGCTCGGTACCGGTTATTATAGCCTTTAACTAGGTTGACGTATTATCGATCGTCGATTTGATTAAGTTACCCGAGGTAGTGAGGTTATCAATCGACTACTCTATCCCGTCGGTACTCCGTATAATATCCCGTAGCATCTTACGCCGCCCTGTCCTGGTCGGCTTCGACTTGGCGACTTAGGGTTTACTCGCCTTCTTCCCGGCCTTACTTGGTGTATCTCGTATAGGCTCCTTTCCCTTGGCCTTATCACTCTTTCTAGTCTTCCTAGTCCTACCCCCGCTCTTACCGGTCCTCGCGGTGCCCTTAGTGGTCTTCCTGCCCTTTGCCGGCCGCCTCGCGGTAGTAGTAGTACCACCGCCCTCGTTATCGTTACTATTATCGTTATCGTTACCTTCCCTACTCTCGCTAGGGGCTTTAAGGCCCTCGGCCACCTTTCCTATATAGCGTTAGCTTATTATCCTTTTCTAGTACTAGCTATATCACTTACTAAGTCCGCACCGAGTGCCCTGACTATTCTAATAATAATTAGTATAGGCGCTTTTCAGCTCGCCCTTAATAACCACACATATAAGAAACGGACCGTTCTTCTTCTAGTAATGATTATATATCTTTTCCGCGTTATCTCTAATAATATAGCCTACTAATGCTTCTATATTCGCCGTAGACTTTTGGGCTCTTATAAAGAGGTCTACTGCCGGTATTTTCCGCGTACGGGGTTCCCGTTTAGCGACTAGTTGTCGGAGTATCTATATCGTCGCCCTACCTATAAGATCTTTGCCATCTAAACTGACCTATTTATGCTTTATAACTAGCTTCGCCTATCGTGCTAGCTTCGCATCCTTGCCTTTGTTATTGGCGACAATCGGAGGGATCGCTACACTATTAATTGTTGTGCCTCCGTCCCCGTCCCCGTCTCCGGCTCCGTCTCCTCCTACTGTAGGCCCGGGTATAGGTCTAGCTCCTACCGCGGGCCTAGCTACTCCTCCTCCTACGGGTCCAGCTCCTCCTACGGGTCTAGCTCCTCCTCCTATTCTTATTCATAGTCCGTTAGCGGTCAAACTCGTTACCATATATTACCTAAGGGACTACTTACTAGCTGGACCGATAGCCCTAAGGGCTGCCGGTACTTCCGGGTCATCTATTTTATAATCGGATAGTGTAGATTCCTTACTAGAGGGCGATCCTAATTCATCCTTAACGAGGGTATTCCTTAATCTTAGTCCTCTTATCATATACTTGGTATATATAGAGAAATCTAACCACGGGAGACGTGACCCCTTTTATATCTTCCCCGGCTGGATTTGCTAAGCTATATAGCCCTCTACGCGAGTAGTCTCTATCCTTTGACTGATTCCGGGCGTATGCTCCGCCCTCTAACTATTAAAGAAACCTATCGGGGACTATAAGTACCTCGCTATATTCTACTTCCTATTATAGAAGCCCCTTTATTAAGACTTCCGCGTATATATAGATCTAATTTAGGATATACAGCCGATCTTTACTAGCCGTCTAATTATGAAACCCGGGAAACCCTATATAGGCTCTACGCCCGACCCTCTAAAAGGGATATACTGATCGATAGTCGACTAGGGCCAATTATAATTAATAGTGGCTACTAAGGACAAAGGATAGTTTATCCGGGCCCCATTTCCCCTTTCTATATCCTTTAATCATAAACGAACTCTAATTCCATCTATCCTGGCCTAGATCTAACACGCCATAATCGGCGCCCCTCCCATATAGCCCTAATACTACTCACCCGGCCCTATCCGACGTCTATACAGTCCATAGTCCCTAGTATCTATCATTTCGAAAACCGGCCCGCTAATTACGGTCCGGCCATACCCCCATAGTCCTAATACCGCCATCGGCTGTCTTCTACAAAATCCGGTATACAAAAACTACGCTATAGGCCCCGAAAAAGAGCCGGCTGCAGGCTAGAAAGGCAGCCTACGGGCCATCTTAGCTCGGATCCGCCCCGGATTTGCTTCTGCTAAGCTCAGCAAAATATCACCTGTATGCGTTTCCACCCCCGGTGGGCGCTTACGGGTAGCTGGTATAGCGTACATACACAATATCCAATCATTTTTAATTGCAATGTAATATTATTGACGGTAACGCTGCTCCGGTTTCGATGTCCCGGATCACAGGGTGTCACTTAGGCGTATAAGGCTGATTTGGCAGATGTTAGTTCTTTTCCCATTTTCTCGTCAATACAGACTCTAGACCCCTTCGTTTGCGTTCACAGTTACATATGTAACACTTTTGCGGAGTCACTGTATATAGGTACGAACAACGTTATATTTGATGCCCATTTTTAAGGTGTTTATACTAATTACTTACCTAACTAGTTACCTAGTTAGGTAGTTAGGTAATTAGTTAACTAGTTAACTATGTTAACAAACTAACTAGTAATTTAGCTTCGATATAAAAAGCCCGACTGGCGCAATGGTTAGCGCGCAAGACTTCTACTAAGATATAATCATGTAGCTTTAAACTATCTTGAGGTTGCCGGTTCGACCCCGGCGTTGGGCTTTTTACCTTTTTGCCTGTTGGGAGGCAATGTCTCTTTCTTTGATTTACACCCAAAAGCGGGCCAATTAGTTAGAGCTTAATTGGGTAACTAATGATGGTTAGCGCAAGATTTCGATTTGATATAGATACCTAGGTAACTTAACTATAGTTAACTGGCCTTCAGACCATGTACATACAAACTAACTATCTTGAGGTTGTCGGTTCAACCCCGGCGTTGTTTTTGGATGCGTTTGCTTGCACACTATAAATACCTATTAGATTGAATATGCCTCATCGATCCTTCCTCTTCTTTTCCCTCTTAGTAGTAGCCATTATAATTCTGACATCTCCACCAATACACCCAGCATGGCAGGACTTAATTTCCGTCTTTTTGGCAATTGCCGGATCGAGCAGCCCTGCCAAAAAGGGCTAGAGGCTATCTCACAGTACATCCCTCCATGGCAGCCCTTGAAGCGCTTCTGCCCAGTGGTCCGTATATGTTTCTGTTAACTAGATTTTGAAAGCTTAATGTTAGGGCTTTCCTGGTGGTTTTAGTGGTTGGGTTTAGCTTTGGCTGTGTAGTCGTGTCCGTAGTTTCCATATTAGATAGTTAACTACGGAGAAGCACGCAATATGAATGCGAAGGGGTTCGCTGGTTATAGAGATGTAGCAAGATATAGAAATATGGTGATTATTCATTGATTATAGTTACCTATTTACAGACCTTTTGGTCTTGCTCGGAGGAATTAGACACGGCCCTGTAGTCGCTGAATCAAAGTGCCCCCGGACAATCGGACGCCGCTAGAAGTCTATTTCATTGTTGCACCTGACTACTTTACTCACAGTGTGAGTGAAGTACAATCCTTCGCAGCAAAGTAAAGCGAGAGAGTCTTCCACTATCTCTCCACCTTCGCCCTCTTGGTTGGCGCCATAACCTACTACTCCCAGGCATCCGATCTTGGCTGGAGTGCCGTTGAGAAAATCGATCATCTCGGCAATGGCGTTATCCGCCAGATGTTCTACGCCAAATTTATAAACTGGGTCGTTGCTTTCCCATCCCTCGCACTCGGCCTTGGTCTTATATCAGGTGTTTCCTGGACTACTATCTTCTGCATTATCGCTATCGCCTGGTATTGGGTTATAAGCTACCTTGTATCGGCCTACACGTGGGGGCTCTTCACCTTCGGCACTCTCTTGTGGCTCATTCTCGCCATGAGCGCTATCAACGAGAGTCGTGAGGCTGCTGCTTTGCTTGGTATTGAGCGGGACTATATTTTCCTTGCTGGGTGGTCGAATCTATTATGGCTGCTGTATCTCATCCGATGGCCTTTGGTCTGACCGACGGCGGTAATGTGATTGGCGTTACCGGGGGCTTTCTCTTCTTTGGTGTACTCGATCTGCTGATAGTACCGGTTTTAGCCTTTGGTGTGTTGGTTTTCGCTCGTAACTGGAATTATCGCAGGTTGAATATCGCATTCAGTGATAGTAGACCCAGTCGAGAGAGTGGGGATGTGTGGAATGAAGCTACTCCAGCTGCTGCTGCTGTTTTATGACTTCTTAGGGATTATCTAGAGTGCTTGTATTGTGGCGACGATATTGGTCTTGAATGACTAGGCCATTCAGATCTGTCTTGTTTTGTCATCTTTCTTTCCTTTTTCTTTCGTTTTCTGGTTATTTTGTTAAACACTTCAATCTTGATTTACAAAGCGAGTACTGCGTACCTGTTAATTTCCTGTTCAGTTGATACATAGTGCGCAACCTTCCACTCAATCACACAGCTCGCCTTTAGTTCTTCATGTTTGTCTTGTTTAAATTCTATTTGAAAGTTCTGGCAACTCCATACAGTAAGACAATATTAAAAATAATTCCAAGTCTTTGCAAAGTCTTTACAAGGGGAGAACTCCTTGTCAAAGTGACCTCTGGAAGCACCTGACTTCGCGTCACGCGTCTCGGCCTGAGGCGAAAATCGGCCAATTGTTGTCCGCCGACCCTTTGAACAATTGAAGCAGCAATTGAACCACCGACTTCCGTTCGAATTGGAATTGGATGCGCTGCGCTTGTTGGCCTAGATTAACAACAAATGCGCCATTGATTTTCAAATTGTAAGTCCATACATTCGGGGCTCAAGCTCCTAGGCTCAAGCTGGTCGGCAGTCAAATCAACAGCATTGGTTGAATCTGATTCTAATTGACACAGGCGCAAACACTTATCCAACAGGACAACCACGAGGGATTCCTGTTTTGGATCCTTTGCCTTGACGAAATTCCCCTTTCATCCAATTGAAACTTCCCCGACACCAGCGATTCCATCCCTCAAACTACAACCATGGCCCCAGCATCTAAGAGGAGAAGGGTCTCCAAGGACGTTGATGGAGACATCGACATGGGAAATGATAATCAAGATGTATTCTCTGTGCCGTCATCTCCCAACAACCACAGAACTTCCCCGACGCCTGTGAAAAGTGCATCACGGCGTCGATCTGCCCGCGGAGACAACGCAGACCCCGAAACGACAGGTCAAGATGGCGAGGACAAGAAAGAGGAGTCACAAACACCCGCGCGGGTCGGGACACGAACAAGTGCGCGGCAGCGCAAAACACCAAAGAGATACGAGGAAGAAGCCGTGACACCCTCATCGAGGAGAAAACCAGCTGCCACTCCTTCACGAAGTGCGCGTGCCACCCGAAGCGCGCAAAAGCCGAGGCAATCCCCAGTGGAAGACGAAGATGAGCCTGAATCTGAAGAAGAAGAGGATGATGACGATGATGATGACATGGACCTCGATGAGCCGTCCCCGGAACCCGCGCCTCGGACAATCACAAGGACCAGATCGAAGCGAAGCATCGCGAAACCCAGATCCAAGAAAGCCGTGGCCGCCGAGCCGAAAGAGAAGTCACCTTCGCCTGAATATCAGGACGGTTTGGATGATCTCGTTACGATGCAGCTCCAGCAAGACCTTTATCATGACCAGCCGGAGGCGCATGAGACCGCTGATGTCTCCGAGCCATTACCGGAATATGCTGAAAGTTTCCAAGCGCTCTGCCAGACGGGCCTTGGGGACGAAATGCGTATTCTCTCGACTATTCTTCTCGAAAAGCTGTCAGGCAAACGACAGATTCCAGTGCGAGGACTCGAACCTGAATATCAAAAGGTTAATCAGCTCATTGAACAGACTGTCTCTGTCGGCGAGGGTAACTCTATGCTTCTTCTTGGATCTAGAGGATGCGGTAAGACCGCAATTGTGGAATCCATCATCTCGTCCCTTAGGAAGGAGCACAGCAACGATTTCCACGTCGTTCGTCTCAATGGATTCTTGCACACAGATGACCGTCTCGCTTTGCGCGAGATGTGGCGTCAACTTGGCCGTGAAATGCATACCGAGGACGATGCGGCCAAGGTCAATTCTTATGCGGATACGATGGCGACGCTCTTGGCTTTATTGTCGCACCCAGAGGAGCTCTTCGGGGCTTCTGGAGACCCAGGATCAAAGACTGCTGCGAAATCCATTGTGATCTTGTTGGATGAGTTCGACCTATTCGTCACTCACCCACGACAGACTCTGTTGTATAATCTGTTTGATATTGCCCAGGCCCGCAAAGCCCCCATCGCGGTCATTGGGCTCACGACAAAGGTCGACGTAACCGAAATGCTCGAGAAGCGTGTCAAGAGTCGATTTAGTCATCGTTATACTTATGTCCCTCTACCTCGATCCTTCGAGACCTTTTCGGATATCTGCCTAGGGAGTTTGAATCTCAGTGACGCTGAAATGGTCGATATTGCAGATGAACTTGGGTCTGAACGCACTCTAGTAGAGTCAGACAAATGGAATACCCTGCTTAAGGGATGGAAGGAATATTTGAAGGTAAGATTTGACCTATTTCCCTTTATCCAGTCTATTGCTAAACCTCGCTCTTGAAAATAGCTTCTGTGGAACGACAAAGACTTCCAATTCCATCTCAAGCGTATCTACAACCAAACCAAATCAGCAAAGGAGTTTTTCAACAGTGCTCTTCTCCCTATCAGCGACTTGTTACAAAGTGTCTCGATTCCCGACGCACCCTTACCCGAAGTGCCAACTCCGAAAAGCTTCGCTTCCCAATCCCTCGATTGCCCTGATCCAGCACCTCTCCCCTTCTCCACATCCATCACATCATCCAGTCCCTCATCACTGCCACTGGCTTTACTGGTAGCCGCGACACGCCTGGCAGCCCTATTCGACCCCGGAAATGACGGGTCCCAGCCACAGAGCATGTCGCCACTTGCGCTTTCTTTCCCCGCCGCATACGCTGAATATGTTCGGCTCCTGACCTCCGCAAAGACATCCGCCTCGGTGTCCGGAGCTGCTGCCACACCTGGTCGTGTCTGGGGCCGAGATGTGGCCCGAGAGTCATGGGAAAAGCTACTCAGTTGGGGACTTGTGACTCCTGTCGGCAGTGGGAACGGCACTGCTGATGGACAGATGTTCCGTGTGGAAATTAGTTTCGAGGAGGTCATTGAAATGGCGGGCTCTGGTGGTGCTTTGGGTCAGTGGTGGCGCGAATAGAGACGTGTCAGTGATTTGGATATATTACGAGCATGTCTTACTGTGTTGCTTTTTTTGCACCAGTGGCGAGCATATCATTTGGCTTTCTGACTATCTTGTCTATCATGATAAGAGTTGTCAGTTGGAATACAGCTTAATTTATTTCCAGTTATTCTCCATCGAATCATTCCGGAATTGGTATCAAGTCCACCTCTATTATCCTAATATACGAGAAATAAACCAGCACATTACGCATCATAGTCCCTACTATTGCATACAAGGAAATAAACATATCTCAACCCAAACCCAGCCCTAGGGATTTACACCAAACCCACCGAGATACGTATATCCCGAACTCAACCCGGTATCGGATATATCACAAACCACCAACTAGTTAATTAACTATAAATGTACATAACATTAAAACAAATAAAACAAATAAGCAAGCACCCCCCCCTTCCCCAGCTCCCTCTTTTAGGTGTTATTGGCAAACTTCACTAGTCCCAAACCTACCTGACCTCCATCTAACCTAGGAAATCCACCGATCATCCTTTTCCCATCGTCTATCCTAGTTGCTGAGTATGATTAATCAGGCCATCCTTGTCTTTGCTTCGATGGGGTATGCACGCTCCCGCACCGGGATACAGAATTCTACTAGTTCTACTAGTTCTATACTATCCTCCGTAACCCACGCTAGACGATAGGCGGCACTCCGTAGAGTGGATGTCATCTAATTAGAATTCGATGATCTGCAACGGGTAAAAACGTATATAAGAGACGGTAGCGATATCGGGGTCTTGTTGGATACGTATGGATCCCATGTACGGAGTAGGTAGTTTCCAAACTGGCCTGTTGATTCTTCAGGAAAGAGATCTTGCATATTCTTTCTTTGCGTGCTACTTCTCATGGATAATGATAGTTACTGGCAGCTTTTCAAATATCGCTGCCTTGCGTTAATCTCCTTGCTCGCACTACTATGTACAGTCATTCAAAAGGTAAAATATATTATTACTCCGTACGGAGTACAGGAATATGCAAGTGTTGTGCTTCTAGATTGTCATTTCTGTACTCTGTTTGATTGGTCCCTCCAAACACGCGGCATTTCGATAAATGCATGTAGCCTGCCATGTGTTGAAAGTGACAGGTCTGATTCTCACGTTGTTACCCACAAATGGTCCAAGGAGGGGCTGGTGTGGAATGGCAAGTTGTGTGTTGAGCATATTACTCCGCATGCAGGACACCGATCACTGGGGTACCATGCGAAATCTGCATATAGGGCATTTCACATGGTTGGAGGTTTTCTTTTTTTCTTTTTCTTTTTTTTTTTTTTTTGTAGTTGTATTCTTATGTTATATTGCTCCACTGGTTGAGAAGTAAAATTATAGCCTTATAATTCCTTATAATAAGCATAATATGTTATTTCTCCTTAGTGTAAAAAAACATAATGGAGCTAGTTAATCCAAACAAAAGATGTTGAGAAAATCGACTCCACAATCCTGCAATACTCGCATGGCTTTGATGCACTTCGATATGTAATCCTCCATTCTTCCTTGTTTATACTAGCCCCATAACCCGACTAGCCGTTAGCAATCCAGCGCATGATGCAGCTTGCAGATCAATATTCTCACTTCTGTTTCCATGTAAGGATGGCTACATGACCATGTGTCTGGTCGTGCATATGTGCAAAGCCCTAGCGCATTCGACTATGCAGTAGCCCGGAATAACCCCTTACACACTTCCGAGTCTGCAGCTCTTGTACTCCGTAGGGACCGGATGACTGCGGTTTCGAGAGAGAAATAGGAGACCTGGTTTCAGGAGAGTGGGGTAAATCTAGACCTGGCACGACGTGTTAATATAAATGGAGATTTGGTGTAACGTCATGTTCTCGTGGATTTGTTTATCCATATATTGTATATGGGTTGTAGGTAAATATATCTGCTTTTTGATCGGACTACAGCCTTCCGTATAAACTGTAGTAGGTTCTGTGACAATCTAAAGGTATGTATGTATGTATGTATATATATATATATAATGTATTTTTACCCCGGGAAGAAAAGCGAACGTCAAGGATCTTCCTGTCACTGGCTTCGCTCTGATTACCCCGCTTTGATGCAATAGACAAGAAGGTAGAAGGTTGTTTACGCATTTGTTCAGGCTTCGTAGCATGCATAACTTGACCCACCAAGCCGGCTGATCTCTGGCATTGCAAGGTTAGTGCGAAGTGAGTGCGTGACCGGAGGATTATCTCGAGTCGGATAGTTACTTCTTCGAATGAGAGATTGGCGTTGATTATTAGGCTTTGGGGTTAATTGAGGAGATATCGAATAAGGATGATCTTGTTAATTTCCAATTAAACAAAGTCGATGATCTCATCTCATCTGATATTCCTTGCGATGATCGGTATCACTCGGACAACCTCCGTCTTCATGTGCAGTAGTGGATCACCAAGAAAGAACCAAAGTAGGCTAAATGGCTTAATATCA